GAATAGAAACTTGATGGAATGGATTACAACATCTAGTATAAGAAAGTTGAATACCTTCTAAACGAGTACAAGTTACTTAATAATCTGACCAGTCATGAACCCTCCTATGATTGGACATACGGCCCAACATCAGCATGACTGAAGAGTTTATGAGACTTGGGTTAAGAGGAACAAAAGTGCAAGCTTTACTTTGTTAAGCGTAATGTACGAGATGACTTAATATAGAGTTTGAGAACTACCTAACTTGTGAAAAATGTGGAAAAAATTGGAGTTAAAATTAAAGGGACCAACAATCACAAGGTTTCTTACCTTGACACTCAATTTCAATAAGTCTATGATGGACCCTAAGTCAAAATGATGGAACATCTTACAGTGATGTCATATATGAATAAAGAAATAATAGCAACTAGTTAAAAAACTTTCTAATAAACAAGAAATTCTAACTGTCATTAGGACAATTCTTGAGTCCACTTGGGGCAAGTGACATTAGTTTTCACACGTGATGAAACAATTGTAAACTTCGACGATATTTCCTACAATTTAGAACTCGAAGTAGAGCGTATGATTGCAAATCACAATACTATTGAATTAACATGCAGATCTTATAGATTACTATTGATTACCAGTAGATAAGCACTTTGTGATAATAGGTAATAGAATAAAGGAGATAATCCTTGGTATAGAAACCTACCAACTAGCCATGCATAATGAGTGCAAGTTGCTCCTACATGATGTGTTTTATGCATCCATTATAGGATATAATCTACTATCAGTTTTAGCATTAATAAATTTAATTTTTTCTTTCAATTTTTTTAAAGACAAGTAATATGTCTATTTATCTTGATAAAACCTTCTATGGTTATGCAATACTAAAGGGATGGTCTATTTTTGTTGGATTTGAAATCCAATTGAAATAATAATAATCATGTTTATGTTGTTTCCCTTGTTCTAGTATCATGTATGAATCTTTCATATTAAAATATTGCATAATAATTGATTGATATTGAAGCACATTCTTACGAGTGATATGTTCATCGATCCATTTACTAAACCAGTTGTTAGAGGTTTATGTTTGTTTAGATTTCAGGTATTTGTACATTTTCTCTACTGTTGCAATAAGTGAAATGAGTTTTCTATTTTTTGTGACTTGCATAGTAGATAAAAATTTTGCACATATCAATGATGATTTGTTACTAGACTTTTGATAATCCTGCTCACATGTAAAATCACCTCAATGCTTTAATAGTGAGTGAGATGAGACTTAAAGAATGACCAAGTACTAAATGGGTGATGATCTCCTTCTTACATGAGTTGCAAAATAAGAATAAAGTGTTGAATCATATGTTGCCTTGACTTAGTGTTAAGATAAGACATAGAAAAGTCGAGCAAGTAAAGTATTGATACTCCACCATGTAGTTTGTACATAGCCGTATTTGAATTTTGGTGATTCAAGTCAATTGTTTTGTGAAATGATTTGACCATGTTCATTTTAATGTAATAAAAGCATGACAAAACATTAGTGGGAGCTATCTGATATCATACATTTCATACTGTATAAGCTGCAATACAACTAATTAAGATTGTGATAGAATGGATCATTTCTTCATCACAACATGAGCTCAATCAAAAAAAAGATCAAAACTATATCTTTTGAATCTTGGATCTATGTTGAAAATTTCAAAATTGATGTTACTACTTCTAGGTATTATCTAAGGGCAATAAGAATTAATGCGGTTTAGTAAAATGTGATTATGAAAGTAGTCAAAACTTTGTAAATCAATACGAGTATCTAAGGAAAAATTATTTGATATCACATATAGGATTTGAAACTCATAAGCTCGACTGGCAGTTATGTAAACATTAGTTATTTAGGTTAATCTGAAGTTCAAATACATCTAAAGATTTGGATGGTTCTAATTAAGAGGGATCAGAGCATGCAAAATTTGGTGTGATTAAATTAATTTGACATATATTGAGAACTTGAATGATATTACATTAGTTCTCATGAGTAGATTTCTCATTCAGCCGCAAGTTGCATTTTTCTAGTATGATTGGAAAACTAAATATTTTAAAATTAAAAGTATTGATATCTAATGTGTACCAGTGGGAGATGTTAATTTATGCCATGTGGTGCACCCACATAGCCATACACATAGAATAATTATATAATTAATATTAATAGCAGATAATTTCTCCTCTCATTGGTTAAGATAAATATTTCATTAGTTGAAATAAACTGAAAATAAAAACTTTATTAGTGGAGAGAAATATTTACTGAAAAAATATCTTATTAGTTGAGATAAATTGATTTAAGAAATAAATTTTATTTATTGAGAGTTCTTACTATAAATAGGACAAAAATTATTCTTTTTTTTTAATGTGAGAAAAATTCATATTTTTTAAGAGGCAATCTCAAACTTTAAAAATTTAAAATATGTAAATATTATGGGTAACTCTAATACCTAATTCACAATAGCTAGAAGGATAAAATATATGTATTTATGATATGGAAGCGCATAGAGGTCATAAAGTAGATATTTGATCAACTTTAAGTACATAAAATTTGTTAAACGTATATTTTCACTTTCGCTGTATGTACGTTAATTTTTCCAAGGATGAGAGTTAAATTAAATTTTAGAGAGTTTACCCAACAAAACAGTAAACAACAAAACAGTAAACAAAGAGTAATCAAAGTAGCTAAGCCAAATAAAATAAAAATATTGTAAGGGCAATAAAGTAAAATGAGGTCATTGATGATTTTGGAGGTATAATTAAATCTAGTTTGGTGGACGAAGAAAGCAAAAATGGAGAGGAGAGAAGACGAGTATTCTAGCGTAGAAGAAGAGCGTGAGAATCCAGAAATCTGCTTAGATGCCGTGATGGTCGTGGGGATGGTGGTGGGGCCCCCTTAGTTAATTCCCACGCTCTCTCTATCTCTCCTCTCTCCCTCTTTCTCTCTCTGTGGCCCTGCCACATCGTCCACACTCCGACTCTTCCCTCTTCCCAACGCCAAATCCATTTCCTTAACCACTTCTCCTACGGTTCTACCCCCCCAACCGATCGTTGCTCCAATTCGATCTTCACTCTTCAGGATTCGCCTCTTGGATTTTCCGCAATGATCTGTCAATCCGAACATAGATGATACAAAGTGTAAAATTGCTGGTAAATTTTTCTGATTGTTTCGGGAGCTATAGTTTGATGCTGCTGTGAATCTCCATCCGAAGCTATTTCTCTCTCCTTCCTTTTGGTGATCTTTAGTAGCCTGTAGCTGGATTTGCTTAATCCGGCAGAGTTGTTTGCCTCCAGCCTGAATCAGTCAGGTGCGTGTTAAGGCAGCCTGTTTCCATCTCTCCTCTGTATTCCCTTGAGTAGCAGTATTTGTTCATTGATGGAGCTTCCCTTTTTAATTTGGACTTCTTGTTTCTGATTTCAGATCTTAGAATATTTTCTGTACAAGTACATATCTTGTTGAAACTTGAAGTAATCTTGGTTTTGGAACAAGGTTGATTCCATTTGGGTAACCCTTTTTAAGTTATAATGGTAGTTGACGATTTCAGATGACTATTCGAAATGTTCTTCTGAAAGCAATAATAAAAGGAAAATTTTCACGGGCATTTAAATTTGATTGCTATTATGATTCATGATAAGCATTTGCTTATTTCCCTCTCTGGACTGATAGCCTATGCAGCAATATCCACTTCCTGAATTGGATACTAATTAACAAGGCAAATATCTTATCTCTTCTTCTCTACTTGTCTTTCCTCAACAAAGATCAGCTGTAATAGGTCTAAGGAACCTAAATTATTAAGCAGACATGTTGACTAAATGAAATTCTAAAGCTTTGGTTGAGGAAAAGAAGAGAACTTCAGAACTTCTGTTAATTGTTAATGCATTTAAACAAATTTCTCGAATACCAAAAATGTACCAATGATTTTACATTGTTCACTTTATTGTTTATTGCGTTAAAACAAGACAAGTCAGCAAATTTGAAATCAAGGGCAAGGTCGTAGAAGTCATGTGAAGGTAAGCAGCCAGGACGGAAGTTGTATGCCTCTCAGTATCAAATTGTTCTGAAATTGCAGGGCATTTTTAGTTGCTAGTTTAAATTGAGTTGTTATATGGGAACTAATTTTTGGTGCAGTGTCAGCTTGCAGATGGTGAATTGTTGCTAACTCGCTCTTTGTTCTAGTTGCATTGTTCAGGAGCAAAAGAACTATTTGTCAACTTGACTTCATTCTTGGAAAATGTTGGGTGGTAACAACAACAAAAATGTGCTTCCTGTTTTTCTTGATGAGAATCAATTACAGTATAATGCTAATGCTTCGAATCAGCTACAGTTATTTGGAAACTGTGAGTTCTTTGCATTAACTTAGGATATAAGATTTATGATATTTTGACCAATGTTTACTCTCTGTATTGATATTAATTCTTATTTATCTTGGTGGTTGTATCTTCTGTTTGTGTAATTTTTCATATATGTTGGTGCATAAAGATGTCCATTTGGTTGGCCTTCTGCCTGTTTCAAAGTTTTGCTCCCTTTATACTTGACACTCCTGCATTTTCTTCTCCAATATAGGAACTTGATCTGTGGGACTATTTTAGTAGAACTGAATAATATAATTTATGGTCTTTGTCTTTTGTCTTCAAAAGTCTTTTGGTTTGCATTCTTTCCACTCTACAAGCTCTTCGCTTGATTATGCTCTGCATTTGGACAGAATGGTATGGAAAGTTGCAGCATGAAAATGTTATTGATTTGTTCAAACTTATCTTCTATGCTTTGTAATATCCTGTTGCTGTAGAAAATTAATTGAGCTGTTATTATCTTGGTTGGTTCATAAACTGTATGTGTGTGACAAAAAGAAAAAGAACTAGTGCTACCTTTTATAGCCTTCTGGATTATGATTAGTTACTTTGTACCTTGCTGTTATTATTTTCAGTCTTGTAATTTATTTTATATCTGGACTGACATTATATATGACTTTCTAATTTTTGCTACAGTGCCAACAGGATGCAATGTTGATCTCATAAATTATTTTGGAAATGACCATAATACTGCTATGCTTCGGCCTAGTAAACGAGGAAGGGAAGCGGAGAATATCACTAGACAGCAGAAGCTTCAGATTTCTCTGAATTTCAATGCGTCTAATGATGAAGTTGATCGGTCAGCAAGCATTCCGAACCAACACCCTGTATCAACTGGTTTAAGATTGTCATATGATGATGATGAACGCAATTCTTCTGTTACTTCTGCAAGTGGAAGTATGACGGCAGCATCACCTATCATTTTGTCTCTTGGTGACAATATTAGGAGTGAAATGGACCAGCAGAAAGAAGAACTTGATCAGTACATTAAGATTCAGGTAATTTATCATTAATTTTTTGGATGCATTGGAAATTAGGGATGGATTCCAATCCTTTAGCGAGGCTTGAACCCCCTACTTTCCATTAGGGGAGGTGGTGCCATCTCCTTGAACCACTGGGCATGCTGTGCCATAAGTATGTGCTTTCAAATTGGATCTGTTGGGTTAACTTTTGAACTTGTAAGTTCTAAGTTGGGAATGGATAAATAGTTTTACCACTCAAAAGATTTCACTTCAGGTTTTACTTCTTGATTTGTGAAAGAAATTGAAAGGTTTATAGAATTAAATATTCTGACTTGCTATTGTTTGTTCAACCTCAAAATCCTTTCCCTAACATAAACTCTGAAATTTCTCATAGTTTATAGAATGAACCATTCCATCTTGAATTGTAGCTTCCACCTCTAATCATTTGCTTTACATAAGCTATAATAATTATTCTCAAAACTATTTGCTTACAGTTAATTTTTAGCTATTAGTTATTGAAATATGAATTGTTATTATAATGCAGAATAATTCCATGCTGTTACGTGTCTTTTATATTAGACACTAGCAATGCATTTTGATATTAAATCTGTAAATGGAAAAACTGCTGGTTGTTGATGTTATACTTCAATTGTCCGGAAGGATTTGAGATTACTGTTTTATAGAATTTCCTAATGGGAGAAAATCTCATCACATTATCTTTCCAAGTAAAGTATCTTCACTTTGTCTTTCCAAGCTTCAAATTATTTACAGTTCAAAAGAGTTTGGCTAGCTTGAGCTCTATTGCTAGATTACATGCTGCCTCTGTCAGCACCAAAATTCAAACAGTTTGGGGGGCTCAAGCTCACCTGATTCCTACTGGCTAGCAGAACTTGAGCAGCCATTGCCTTGTGACATTTTGATGCTTTTTGAATAGGAAAATCTGATTTGTGTACTTTTTTGAATAGGAGGAAAATCTGATGAAGGGATTGAGAGATATAAGGCAAAGACACGTGGCATCTTTCTTGACTGCCATTGAGAAAGGCATAACTCAGAAGTTACGTGAGAAAGATCATGAGATCGAGAACATAAACCACAAGAATAGAGAACTTGTTGAGAGAATAAAGCAGGTGGCAACGGAAGCCCAGAACTGGCAATACAGAGCCAAGTACAACGAGTCCGTGGTTAATGTTTTGAAAAACAACCTCCAGCAGGCAATTTCACAAGGTGCTGCAGATCAAAGCAAAGAAGGATTTGGAGACAGTGAAGTTGATGATGCAGCCTCCTACATTGACCCAAGCAACTACCTCAGCCTTCCATTGAGGCCTGCAAAGGCTTCTATTATTTTTTGCAGAGCATGCAAATCCAAGGAGGTATCCATCTTGTTGATGCCTTGCAGGCACCTGTGTTTATGTAAAGACTGTGATGGGTTAATCAGTGTGTGCCCTGTGTGCCAGCAGTTGAAAACTGCTAGTGTCCAGATTTTCTTGTCTTAAATTAGTGATCAAATAAGTTAAAAGTTGAAAATATACTTGCAAATTTCATCTTGTTGGAGTTGCTGCACGATTGAACTTGTTGGTGTTTTCAGCTCAGCCAGAGGGTATTGTGTATGTAACTTGGCTCTCTTTGAAGAGGAAGAGTCAGCCTGACATACAGTAATTTGGGATTTAAATGAAACCTTGATGTTGATCCATCTATGGTTGGTTCATGAAACTTGAAGCTATATTTGATCCATCAATTCTTCAGTGTTAAAAAGTCATTACCGGACTTACGTTTATGCTTATTGTTACACACGCATATTGTTTCAAAATCGTTGTCCCCGTTACCTCCTAGTATCTTGACAAATAAGTAACTAATGAAATAAATGAAGGTTTCAAGTTTCAACTCTCCGAATTTGTTGGGCAAACCTTAAGTTTGTCAGTGTTAGCATATGTTGAATTTTGAAACCATTTTCCATTTGGCTTACATAATTACATAATGGAGTCTGGACTGGACATAGTCCCCGGGAAACATTTGTATTAAGGCATTTAGGGGTACTACTAACCATACTGAATTTGACTACATTATTGCAAAAGTAAAGTAAATAATTTGGCACCTGTTTGAAGGTACATATTTGACTTTTTAAAACACAGCTGAAATGGCAAAACGCGAAGTCCAATAAGTCAAGATACCAAACAACTTGGTGTTTGACTCCGATTAAACCTTTGGTTTTCTTTTGGAATTTCCTATGAAGTTTTTCCACTAATTAGACGAAATTATCGTTTAAATTTTAAAAACATGTAAGGACTTTTATCTTAAATAAATCCAATGTAAATAATTGAAAAGATGATTGATTATATATTCAAAACAAAAAAAGAAATCCCAATTTACTGAGAAACCATATTCCAACATGCTACTACGAAAAAGAAAGCAATGATATAGAAAAAGGGTTGACAATGGTCTGATCTCAATTTGAGGTCTGATTACTCAAGCCAGGTACTTGTTCATTAATGATAATCATAAATTCATACGACGTGCAGAATTATTGGCTCGTGGCATGGCATAGTTAATAGTCAATTAGCAAGACACGTCTTAGGCAAGGGAATATTTGGTATCAGAGCTCTTGACAAAAACAAGATTTTTTATGGCAGACTTTCTTAGCATTACAAAAAGTAGCTTTTCAGTTTTTATCCTTGATTTATTTGAGGTAAAGTATCATTCACCAAAAACTAAAAGTCAATTGAACTTTTGCAATAACCCTCTCCCAAAACAGGGTTTAGAGAAAAAAGGGTATGGAACCAGCTAAAGGCAGGCAGAATACGCATTTCCAGTCCAAATGTTGCCTGTAATAGGAATAACATGTATATGTACCTCCAACCAATAATGTTGAAAGTCACTCTACAATGTAAACGGTCCAAACAAGAATGAAAGAGTTCTTCATAATGAATTCATGAACTCCGTCATTTCATTTTTGTATTCAGAAAATTCCATTCAAATAGAGGAAACCTACATAAAAAAATATTTAGTTTAGGAAGAATACACTTCAAAACATGCCCTCCAGTACATTGGTCCGTACATTGTTGTATATGCATGCAATGAAACTATGAGGAGGACTTCAGAGAGAAGCATGTAAAAATCGCCTGACTGAATATCATGTTAATGCAGAGAGTAAATTGCAAAGGACTTAATAAGCATGGTTGCCTTCCGCAGTAAAATTTCTTTAGATTCTTCGTCTATTGTCAACCCGTGGTTTCTTTGATGGTCCACCTTCTAAATGCTGAGTACCAGATTTAATCTAAAACACCAAAGTAAAAAGAAAAAAAAGTTGTATGATTGAGGTCCAACTAAAATATCTCTTTGAAGACAAATCATTTCGCCGGATATGACTTACCTCATCAAGTTTCTGTCTCACCATCTGCACCGTCTGATTCATTGATTGGGAAGGAAAATACTTCTGAAAAACGGGTAATTACTAATTAGCAACTGCTGAAAGTTATTCATGAAAAGGTCAAAGGTGAAGGGTCATTTAGACAAAGGCCAGCAGCATTCATCTCATCTAATTTAATAGGCATAAAATATATTCAAAACTCTTTCTGTTGGATGTCTCTTTCCATAAAATAAGAAGAAAAATGAAAAGATAAAAAACAAAAAACATACAAGAGGGTGTTTTTTGGTATCACTATGGACAATGGATAAATATTCATATGGACTACATATAGCATGTTTGGCATACAGCAAGTGCTAAATGACAGAATTACCAACATTTGGGATTTGGGCAGTGCTGTATCTTAAGATTATGGCAGCTAGCAAAAGTATAGAATGGGAACTGTTACGTTTTATATTGGTGGGTGAACTAGAAGACTCAAGTGAGTTAATAAGAAATATAATGATATTCATCAGTCATCTACCTTGTCAGTTTAGCTTTTTCTGAAAATGCCCTATTACTAAGATATATGACAGAAAATTTATGCTTTCAAGTTGCAACTGAAAGAAGCTACTCCATCAGAAAACTCAGTAATCATAAACTAGATTGAATTTACAGTCGCAAATGTCATTACATCTCTTTAGTCCATCTAATCCAAAAAGCAAAAACAACTCAGGTAAAAAAGTGCAAGGTGGTTATATTCAAGTAGGGAACAAAACATGATTACTTGCAAAAATAGCATAGTGTCAAACCTTGTCGGAAGTAACTCTATCCACGGAAGAATCTCCGCTGTGAGAGATATGCTGCACCTCTCCAGAGGTCCTGCAATATGGAAAGATAACCATTTTGTTGTTTTAGAACAAACTAACCATTTTGTTTTATTAGAACAAAACACCTTCTGAGTAGTTCTATTTAGATAACAGGAACAAATGTGTTCGAAATAGCACATCACCTTGTGTCACCATGTATCAATTTGGAAATAGCACCTTGCTTGTGAACTGTAGACACATTGGACCTTCCAGCTGGAATCATTAAGATACTGGCATGAGAGGAGATAATTAAGACCAACTTTCCAGGCCAAACACCAAATAAATTTATTTAGGATTGTCTCAATAAACTAAAGAATCTTACGATTCAATCGAGCTAAAACTTCCTTTCCCCGTCCTTCTAGTTTCTCTTTTGTGTCTGCAAGGGTCTCATACCGAGGTGCATATGAGACCTGTAAGCGATTCCCAAGGAAAACAAACTCATCCAATTTTCTTTTTGCAAACCTATAATTAATTAAAACATCAAACATGCTGCAGTCCCTAGAAGAAGATCCATGTCTTTGTAACAAGTCATGGCATGAAAAATGAATAAGAAGTATTCACACGCTCTAAAGTCATGTACACAGACTGTCATCAAGAAAGAGAATTGAACACCTGGCATTGCTGACTTGGTGAAATTTGATCCAATATACATCAGTGAATGGCTCACAATCCTCATCGTCCATTGGTTTGCATCTGAAGAGGCAAACAGAACAAGAAAAAAAATTGCCCCAGTTTAATATGACAATCACATAAGGTATTGAGGCTTGGACTAAATTTCCAAAGCATCCAAGTGTAATATGCTGAACAAAATGTTAAATTATCTCAGCAAGGAAATCCTAATAAAATTCACAGCGGTCAGCAAGAGAAGAAATAGAAGTGATAGATGGAAACAAACAGTACTTCAACTATTCATCGTACTGGCACAAACCCTTCAAAAATAAATTAAAGAACAGCAAAACATGGGCATAGAGGGAACTTACTCTTCAACATCTCCATAAGAGCCAAACAATTTTGACAACTCATCTTCACATCCCAGAGCCGGAACGTTCTTTACAATCAAATACCTGCATGTGCATAGAAGTTCATAATCACAAGTGTCCATACTGAGGTGCGTAAATTTTTATAAAGCGGGATAGCAGTTCCAAATTTTGAAATTGAGAATGAAATTAAGAGAAGGAAAAATGGAATGTTCAAGCACACAAGGACCATACACCCAAAAGGTCGAAAATTAAACAGATTAAACTTGCTATTCTACTGTGTAACATTAATGTCAAGCGAGAGAGAGAGAGAGAGAGAGAGAGAGAGAGAGAGAGAGAGAGAGAGAGAGAACTTTGATTCGTCACAAACGGTATATACGCGAACTGCAGGTGGCTCGTCCCTGTTTCGAGGCATGTCCAAAAGAAAATCAAACTCCCCCGAGAATCTCTGATAATCCCTGTAGGAGAAAATTGAAGGAAGAAAGGCAGAGATTAGGCTGGTTAGCAACTAAGGAGGGCGGGGGGGAAATTACGAAGAACTGTCTGGAATTTGGAACTTTAAGGGTACGCAATCTGAGCGAGTGTTTTTTTCAAGATCACATGACTGGCACATGATCTTGAATATGGAGTTCGGGAAAAATCAGCCGACACCATGTTGCCGTCGACAGAGCCGGAGATTGTTCCCATCCAGGCCCTCATTGAGAGGGTCCGAGAGAAATGTCCTGCCCCCGACGAGAGACCTCTTCGCCGGCGATGCAGAGTAATGAAACCAGATTCCACAACATTGCAAGAACTCACCAATTCCTCGTCGAGAGATTTCACAACCAGACTCCTATACCCAAAATTCCAGATTCCACAGGTGGGAGAGAAATGGAACCCACAACTTTGCAAAATTCAAAACCCTAGAGAATTCGAATTTTCCCAAAAAGGGAAAATTTTACAAATTCGAACTCCAGAACCCGTAGAAACGAATTCAATCTACTCAGAAAACCCAAAACAGGGGCTATTTTCCGTCTGGATCTCGTCGGCCAATATATGCTCTCGGCCGGACTTCACCCCGACGGCGATGGGAGGATGAAGACGACGCTACCACAAATATCTCCGAGATCAGTTTCTCTCCCCTGTACCTCTCAGCGTCCGAGGATGACGACTTGAGCTCTCTGTTCTCCCTCGTCTCCGCTCCGTGAGGAAGATAAACACAATAAACACAGAGGAATGGAGCCGTCTCTCATTCCGTCTCTGCACTCTTAGTCTCTTGCCACTCTCTCGGTTTCGTCTCTATACTCTCAGTTCCTCCACCTACGGATTTCTCTTCCTAGTGGATGATCCAACAATTGGAGGGCTTACTTGAAAGCCCGGAGTCTGGTGTCTGAGTCCGAGGACCTAATTAAAGGCTACAGGGGCTCAATTGAAGAAAAATGAAGTTCTGGATTTTGATTGGTCTTTCAGGGTCCTAATTGAATCACTTGGAAGATTCCGGTTCATATGTGAACTTATAAATACTGCACGGATCGAAATGGGGGACTAATCTGAAAATCCTAATTCTGCACTGTTCATCTTCTTACATCCAAGTAGAACACAGCTGGATCTTGCCTTTCAAAACCTCTATCTACTTGCTACACAGATTAGAGATGGGAGTGAATTACAAGTTTGACATTGAGGTTTGGGCTTATTTTTTTTGAAGTGTGATTATTTACAACTGATAATAAGTTCTTGTTAAGTGAATTAGTAGTTTTAACGAGTGTTTGATTAATATAAAATATTAATTATAATACTAATCAAATGAATTTAAAAGTATTTGAACTAATACGTCAAAATTTAATATTAAATAAAAATTGTTAGGTGTTAGTTTGATTAGGTGGGCATGCAATTATTGACTCTACAAGCTTGCTTAAAGTAGAAAAAAATATTGAACATTGGATAATGAATTGGGTCAACAGCACAGTTTTTAGAATATTTAATATTTTTGTTTTTAAAATTAGAAAATATAAAAAATAAGAATATAAAATTCAAATTCAAAATTGAGATGAATTTAGACTTTTTCAATAAGAGGGGTTGGAAAGGGGTGGATTGGAAAAGTTTTACTTATTTTTTCAAAATTTTAAAATAGTTCTATTTCATGAAATTCCAAATGATAAAATAATGCCACAAAAATAACATTAAAATAAAACTAAATCTTCCAACACTTTATCTTTCTTACATTCCTAGGTAGGCCATTTTTACTCTTCCTTTTTTACCTTTCATTCCTTTTTACTAAACATGACCTAAAAGATGAACACATGAGAATTTGGGGGGATAAATTTGGATTTTGCTCTGACTAATTATCTGATGATGGTAAAGCATATGCTGTTTAAGGGATGACTGCATCTCAATCATGAATGGTAGCTCCAATATGAAGATGAGTTGAGCACGGAATCAGATATATTATTCTAGTTGAATAACAATTCCCGGGATAATCTATCCATAATCTATCTGCTAGAGCATCAATGTTGGGTAAATAACTGAGATTCAAATTCAAATTCAAATATAGCATCTTTAAATTCCTTTCAATGGGTTTGGAAGATTGTGTTTTGATTCCTTCTAGGTTATTTACTTGGTGGAGATATTTAAGGTGGACTATCATTATATTAATGAATTAATTGCTTTGGGGATCTGATTTTTTAATGTTTGAGATTTTTCTGAAAATTCTATTTTAAAAATTTTTGAAGATTGAAAAAACTCTTTTAGAACTCTTTTAAATGTTCCAATAAAAAAATAAAAAAAAACTCTTTTAGATCTCTTTTTTTTTTTTAAAAAAAAAAAACTTCTTTCAAGAAATGGGTGAACCAGAAGGAAGTGGGTTCAAAATCTATTTTTTATAAGAAAAATGAAAAAAAAGAAGGAAAAAATAAAAAAGAAGAAAGTCAATTTCCTTTCATTTCTTTAAAAAAAAAAGAAAAGGATTTGATATTAGGGAGTCAATTCACAAGTACCAATTTTTTAATCTCTCTAAGGTTATTAAATCTCGGAAATTTATTTAAAAATATTATATTTTAGTAAATAATAAAAAAGTTAAGATTAATATAAAAAGTTAAAAAATTAATTAATTTCTATAAAGAAACGAAGCACAAAAAATAACATAATTTATTTTAAACTTTCAATATTTTTGTTTCCAAAAACAGCAGAGTACGGTCCCAACCCCTCTCTAATTTCCTTTTGGTGCGACAATTATTGTAGGCGGCCTCGGAGGAACAATTCTAGGGACGTTATGACAAAAAATCTTGGACACTGCCTTCATTAGGTACACTACCTATGTCTTGGGATTCAGGGGTCGCAGGTAATTCTCGTGTATCGAAATGGAATTACCTGCTAGGGAGTTCATGAAACCGAACCAAATCGATTAAATCGAATCAAATTGTGATTTGATTCGGCTTGAGTTAACCTACAATTTGGTTGGTTTCAGTTTGAGTACAGAATTATGTATGCGGTTTGATTTATGGTTTAACTATTAAACTGAACCGTTTAAATCGAACCGAACTGTATGTTTCATATATATATATATATATATATATATATACACTCAGTAGTAAATCGGTGCTAACCCTAAACCGCTTGCTACCCTCCTCCTCATTCGTTTGCTTCTCTGAAACCCTAAGTTCTCCTCTCAGCTTCGAGTTCGATCTCCCAGCATTGCAGCATCGCTCTCTCGATCATGAACACCCCTAACGCTCTCGACCATGAATACATCTTCCATTATTGAGGGTTCCATCATATCTACCATGTCAACATTATTTTTAATACGAATTGCTAAGGGGCTCCCTCGATCTTGTCTTGTCTCTCTTCTTTGATCACATGATGTCCCAGTGAAATCCTTCTTTTTTCTTTGCTCTTAGCTTCGATCCTTCGAACTTGCCTTTCTTCGATCCCTAGATCTCGCCTCACTTCGATTCCTCAATCTCATAGTAAATCGGCTAACTCTAAACCTCGTACTGTCTTTCGTGCGGCTTCAATCTTATTTTGCAAACTGTCACAATGGATAACAGTGAGGACTCGCACATCTACGGCCACTATCGCCCTCAAGAGGGTGTCGTAGGAGCAGAACATTATTCCCCTGATCTGGTATGTAATCGTAGCTGCTGCAATATTTTTTTTTATATCTTGCCATGTTTTATTTTCTTCTACTGTTGGTATGCACAAAATCGTAGTTGCTGCAATTTTTATTTTCATAGCTTGCCATTTTTTATTTTCTTCTGTTGCTGGTATGCACGAAATCGTAGCTTAGTTGCTGCATATTTTTTTTTCATAGCTTGTCATGTTTCATTTTTTTCATAGTTGCTGCAAATTATTGAAGCCATTATGTCAACCTAATCATGTGAACCCATTTGATAGCCGTTGCAAATTATGCTTTTATTACACTTGAAAAGACCATTATGTCGGTATTGAGGCCAAAACCTAATCAGTGAACCTGTTTGATAACATTAATTAAGGTTATTAAGGTTTGGTTTACTTAATGGGCTTTCTTTTAAGAATTTGGTGGATTTGATAATTCTCAATTATACCCATGTATGTCAGAGATTCAATGGCTCTGAATTGGTTTACTATCTGGCTTTGTTTGAAGAATTTGGTGCATTTGATAATTTTCAATTTTACCCATGTATGTCAGCAATTGAATGATACTTGATTAATTATTTGGTCAAAACCTTTATAGTTAAAATAAAATAATCACTCATTCACGGGATGTGCTGAAGAGTTCAATAAATTAGAGGTAACTAACTTAAAGTTTTTGAGAAAATGATAGAGTTTACCTTAAATAAATCTACAATAAATGTAACAATTGGGAGGGGGGGGTAACATTGTCTTAACACTGATTCATTAAAGGCACAAATGGAATCTTTTGTGTTATTAGCTTTCTGCATAAAAGGGAAAAGAGTGCAATAGAGAAGGGGTCTTTTTTTTTTCTCCTCCTCGTAAGATTTGGTTTAGAAAAATAGGGGAGAGAATGCTGCACCATTATCTTCGATTGCTGTTGTTTTCTCTGTCTTAAGGGTGACCTGAGTAGCTAAGAAATTTTTGTTGGGATCTGATATTTGTGAGAAATCCTGCTCTGTTTCTTG